ATTCTTCAGTGCATCCAGTATTTGCAGTGCACTCTTAGCAGACGGAGATTGTATGCTGCTCAGTAGTGTGCGAATCGTGGCAATTAATGATTGCACGATTGCAGTCACTTGCCTGTCTTGGTTGGAAAGATCTCGAACCGGGATCGCGGACTGGCCGTCATGAAACTCCTTCGGTTCGCTTGATGCTGCTTCCCTTTGAAGTGCAGGCCACTCTGTCGCAGTTAGGGTATGCTTACTGGCTTTGTCCTTTACAGCCTTTCCCACGGCATGTGGTCTGGGAGGCAAAAGAGGTGGTACTGATGAGGGATCTGGAAAACGTGTCGAGGAGGTAGCAGGCGTCCTTGAAGACCGACGTCAACGTGAACGACGCCTTCTGACTTTAGCTGCGGCTTCTCGATGAGATGAGTGATCGCGCACCATCTCCTTCAATATGGCAATTTCCTTCTGAATCCTCGGGCAGTCCTTCAATGTGGCTTCATGGGATCCATTGCAATTAGAGCATTTCTTGACAGTTACGACGCACTTATCTGTTTCATGGGGCTCGGCGCAGCGGTGGCATACCACCGAATTCTCGCAGACGCTGCTCACATGTCCAAGTTTCATGCATTTACGGCACTGGAGAGGCTTTGGAATGAAAGGCCGCACAGCATGTCTGAAGTACCCCACCTTCACATGAGAGGGGAGTGATGTGCTCTTAAACGCAATCTTCACACAGCGAGACTTGCCTAGCCGGGTGACATCAACAATTGGAGTATCAGTTGTTGACTTGCCAAGAAATTGTAAGTCATTATTGGAAATAGCCACATCTATGTCGTAGATCACGCCGGTTACTACATCACATCCCAAGAGAACATGAGAGCGCACCTGGTTGCCGTCCAAGTCAGTTACACTGCGCAGAACGCCCAACGCACTTGCGTGCAAAACGTCAACAGCCAGCATATTCTTTCTGGCGTTCACTCTTATGTCCATGATCTCATTTGGCACGAGCGTTTCCAGAGACCTCGACACAGACTGTCTGTTAAGGCGTTTCATGCTGACGGTAGGAAGTGCAGGCAGAAACAGGATGGTGTAAGTGTTCGATTTTGGCGCCTCACTTACAGTTTGAATAGTTGAGGATGAGGACGTCCTCATGTTCCTCCTCTTCGCTTTGCGGCTCAGCACAGATTGGAAACCGTCATCCGCCGAGCTGGAAGATGAACAAAAGCAGTGGAGCTGCAGAGGTGATAAGTGCTCACCTTCGCAGAGTGAAGGGCACCGGCTGCACCAGGAGTTTTTCACGACGCCGGTGCTCAAGTGCCATGTCTCAGAGTTAAACCAGATCCCTTCATACGTAACTTGCATTGGGACTCTCAGCTTCCCCAGTGGTGTATTGAAAGGGGAAACTGCATTCGGAGTGGTGGCCCCGACAGGGGGCGTGTTCCCGTCTCCGTACGCTGTTTATTTCCTGTCTGAAAGAGATAGCAGCGGCCTTCCTTGAAGAGAAGTGTAGAGGACGTTCGTCTGGCTCGAGGTACCCTCAATTAGTATAATTGTAATTATTTGATTGTAATATAGATGACGAAATAATTTGTTTTGGTTGCACCGTCTTCCCATTTTCTCGCTTGCAGTGTTCAATATTCGCCAAGCAAACAACGTGATTAGCCCTTGCTGCAGTCATGTCATGGATACGTCCCCGTTAGGCTATGTGATCTAAAAGGGATAAACAACCAGCACACTTAGGACAGACAATGCCACCTGCTTTCTTTTCACGCATGGCAACTAAGACAACTTGTAAAAAAGTAATACATTTATTGAGATTGTTTGTGTTGCAGCAGTGCATACGGTTTGTTATTTTAACTGAAAAGAAAGGCTGTTCAACAAAATACCAGTCGCTTTGCGTTGGCGGTCCACTTTGGGTATCACTCCCAACATAGAGCTCATACCCGGGGAACCCAAGTGTCTCGAATTCCCAACGCTGGGTGACTAACTGAAGCATTAAAAAACGGTAAGTGAAAGATTGCTGGGTGGATGCGTGTGATTAGTGTATTTTAAAACTGAATTGAATTATAGTCGAATTGTGAGAAAATCGAATCGAATTCGAATATACGGTTTGAATACTGTGCGCATAGATTTCGAATAGTGTAAGGCAACCATTTTCAGTTGAGCTTTTCAATTCCTCTTCACAAACATTAGCAAAAGCACACTGCGAATGCTTTTAACCGAAAAAAAAATACCGCATTCATGTAACATGATGCAAGCTCACGCACAGTAGTGACTAGCGCCTTTGAGATACTTTATAACTGTGGGCTCAATAACAGCAGCAACAATGGCGTTGGAGTTTTAATGAAAAACGCCTCCATCCAGTGATTTATATAGTTCGGTGAAAGCCTGGGCTGCATGTATATCATGGTAGTTCAATTCTTCAAAAAGCATAAGTGGCCCCTCGCTATTCAGAAGTGAGGACCCTTTGTGTGCTTACTATTAAAAATTATTGAAAAATACTCCTTACTTTGAGTATGCGTTATTTGATAAAAATACCGAATAAAATAGAGCGCTATCCGATTTGTTATACGAAAGTTTAGAATATGGGCGCACACTTATTCCTTGCTGAATTCATTGAAACAGCACTGGTGAACGCTCCAAGAGGAACCCTAGTTTTTTTATTAACCTTCCAAAACCTCAGTAATTTTTAAAATTTGTTTAACTTGCATGTGAAGGTAGTCACGTGATTCTCAGAATCGCATTCTGAACTTGGGAAGACAAAAACTTATTACCGAAGTGGATAATCATCTGTTATACTGTTGTAAATTATTGCTTCATTTGTGTAGTTTTACAACGAGCGTGCGCGAGTACAAATACATATTCAAGAGAAGCTTGGGCCACATAACTTTCGCTCATAATTTTGCAGGGCAAGTGACTTCACGTTGTAGCATAGCATGAATACTCCTATTGTTCATTGCGACGGGATCCGTGACTTAAAAAAAAACAACATACATATTGTACATTATAGGCTGGCACAAAAAATAGCTGGAAGCATTTGAATCGCAACCACAAACAGTGCAGCTGAATGCACTTTTCATTGGGCAGTGTTGCTGTGTACTGTGCACAGTTGGAAAGTTTATTGAAGTACCTAAATCACTTAAAAAAACGAGAGCTACGTAGGATCAGACCCATTTAGCCTTGTGTCCCGATGTTGTTGAGGATCTCTTGCAACCCAATCAGCATGATACTCATGAATACAGCTGCGTCATGTTCTTGTAAGAAGGTTTGGGCAGTTTTATTTAAAGCCGCGTTAATGTTACCTTACTTCGTGATCATCTCTAGTTGCAGTGCATAGCCCTACCACGGTGGTCTAGTGGCTATAGGTACTCGGCTGCTGACCCGCAAGTCGCGAGATCAAATCCCAGATGTGGCGGCTGCACATTCGATGGACGCGATAGTGCTGTAGGCCCGTGTGCTCAGATTTGGGTGCACGTTAAAGAACCCCAGGTGGTAGAAATTTCCGGAGCCCTGCACTACGGCGTCTCACATAATCATGGTGCTTTTGGGACGTTATACCCCACATATGAGGTTACGGTGATACTGAATAAAACGGCAACCTCAGTGATTCAATAACACTCAGTTTAAGGTGGTTTGTAAGTGATCGTTTTGGGCGTAAACCAAACCAAGTCAATTGGAGTTTTCGCGAACTATCTGAAGCCAACCCACCCCCTGCCTGCGTTGTCACAGAGCTATGGCGATCGCCTCGGGCCCCCATGCATATAGCATAGCATGACTGCGCTGAATTGCCGCGGTGAAATCTGTGTCCGCGTCACTAAGAAAGTCCCATGCACGGCAATTGTTTGAGGGGGATAAAGCTCTATACATAAACTTGCTCATTATTATTGCACTAATAAACACGTGCGCATTTGCACTAGTTAGGCAGTTTTCCATTTGTGAGAAGATCACAGTGAACAACTGGCGGTACATTCTTGGCCAAAAGCTATCGACATTTCAAAGTTGCCTCTCTGTGAAAAACTAAGGCTTATTACCGCTCGTGCGTAGACGAACAGGAACCGGAATTAGTGGTGTGCACAATAACGAAAGGTACAAAAAGAAAGGATGCGCAAGGCAGACAAGACTCGATTAGCTTATCGATATGGTGCTTCAATATACTTCTATTCGATTATAGTTTAGTATATAAGCCTCATCGCACGGATCTACAGGGCATTTGAAATCGCCCGACGACTGTCCCCTCTTCTCCCGATGGCACATGCTTGCACACGCGCACCTCTCTTGGGGGGAAAACCTATTGTTTGGTTCAATGCACGTATAAGCACATGCATTTCCATTAGGGTTACCATAGCTGCCCGTAGTGTTTTTTTTAATCAGTGTCGAATAAGGCACATTCCTGGAAAGAGTACTGTAGTATCCATAAAATTCCTTTCAACATAAATAAGAACATGTTTCGGAGACTGATGAATCTTAAAAACACTGCAAAACGGTAGTGTTGAAAGGCGACATACATATTTTGGCAAAAATTTGAGATTAATGTAAACCAAAAACACCCTTGAGAGCGTGGCAATTTTTTTAGCATGTCCTTGTCATACAGAACATAATATTGATGAGACCTGTTGAAAGTTTACACGGATTGCTTCCGCTTACCCATAGCCGCGACAAGCGGCTTAAGCAACAGTGGTGTATCTAAACCATTCTTTCACTTTGTACACTCGGCACTTGATTGATATGTGAGGTTTAACGTCCCAAAACCAGAATATGAATATGAGAGACACTGTAGTGGAGGGCTCCGGAAATTTCGACCACCTGGGGTTATTTAACGCGCACCCAAATCTGAGCACACGGGCCTACACATTTCCGCCTCCATCGGAAATGCAGCCGCCGCAGCCGGGATTTGATCCCGCGACCTGCGGGTCAGCAGCCGAGTACCTTAGCCACTAGACCACCGCGGCGGGGTTACACTCGGCACTTCAGCTTCCATGTTTGGCGAATGACGTCTATTGAAGCATTTCATTCTGGCCACGGTCTTTTATTTCTCGTACGGGTGTCTTAAATAAATCATCAGATACGCTCCAGGACTGCGTGTTGAGTTGAAGTTAATAATAATCCGCTCTCTCCATACATCCAAGAAAACACCAATCAGTTTGTGCACGGCGGACAATTTTGTGACTTGATCAGGCCAACGCAAAATGTTCATTACACTGACGACTAGTGTAGCGGATTATATGGTGCCCATATGCATCGGGTATCAAAGCAATAGCAACCATCCCAATGACGCATTCCTTCGTACTGGTCCACCTCCTGGAGTGCGGGCCTGCATTTTGCCCGCACCGACCCTCTGAGTCACCAGCTCCGTACACGGGCATTGCAGCGTGGCTTTCGTCCCTGGAGCCACGGTGTTCCGTAGCGGCCCTTCCTCTATACGGACTTCAAGTTGTTAGAGCCTCTAGGTAAACCAAAACCATCAAGAAAAATGGACAAAAATATATGGCGACGTGGCAGGCGAGATTTCCTGGCTGCTTCTTTTCCCTTTTTTTAAAAATATTACTGGCTTGTTTTACTCTGGAATAATAGCCCATCAGTTTGCTGATAGTTCTATTTGCAAGGCAAAAAGGGTAAACAGGTGATTTGACTACCATGGCGCATATGAGCCGCCTCTGCGCCACGACGAAAGGGCCACTGCGTGCAGCTAGGAGGAACAGAGCGAGCAACGATGGAAATAAAAATGACCGATGTTGCTCCGCATACATGGAAAACCTACCATTTCCCGTCGGTCTGTACGGCAAAGATCATCATCAGTTCAAAATAGTTGCTAAAATACACGAGACAAACATGACGGGTACGTATCACATCGGAAGATGACAAAAAAAGGCTGCAGCATCCCCTCGCGTATAGTTCTGCGCACCAAAGGTCACAGAGAGTGCATTCAGATGACGGGTGGCTGCCAGCGGCTGCAGCGGCGGATAGCGTGCGCCGTCCACTGGTGGCGGGTCAGTGCGTCGGTGCGTGTGTAGCGGTGGCCACATCCGGGCTGACTGCACACGTGCACGCGCTTGTGCGCCTCGTCCAGGTGCGTCTTGCGATGCTTGCCGAGGTGGTCTTTGCGGGCGAACCGCCTGGCGCACAGATCGCACGCGTGCGGCTTGTCGCCGCTGTGGATGCGTCGGTGACGCGTCAGCTCCTCGTTGCGCGCGAACGCTCGCTCGCACGCCTCGCACTTGTACGGCCGGTCGCCTGCGCGCAGGAAAGAGAGGGACAGCTGCGTGACCCCATTTTCGTGCACCAAGAAACACCAACCGACGTCACTTGCAAATCTTCGCTCTTTTTCTTTTTTTATTGCCTTATACGTGCGGCGGCACAGGTTGCAATGCTCGTGTACTGAGCGTCGAATCTCCGTCAAAAAAAAAAAAAACTGAAGCACGCTATGCTAACCGGACCCAACGTTTTATTGCAATAGCAATTATATGAACCCTCTCGGCTGGGTTTGGCCACCGGCGTCGGCGTCATGCACCGTATACGTATATATATATATATATATATATATATATATATATATATATATATATATATATATATATATATATATATTATATATATATATATATATATATATATATATAAACGCAAGTAAGGAAAAAAAAGTCCAGAAAAAGACTTCGGCACGCGGAATTGAACGTGGCACCTCTGCGTCCCGAGCACTAATCCCTGAGCCACCGAGAGATACTTCCTTCAACGTTCAAACGACAAGCTATATATCTACCACTTGCCGCTGTTGGCGGGCATCTGGGGGTAATATTGTGTTTTTCACATCATCAGCAAGATGGCACAATGAGCGCGCGGCGGCTCTCATCTCTCAAGCGTACTTTGGTCCGCGGAGAGGAGAGGAGTGGACGATCTCTCGCGCGCTCTTATCTCCCGGTGGGGACGATCCTATGTCTTGGCTGGCGTTGGGCTTACACTGGAACGATTCTGTTGTAGCTACGGGGCGCACAAAGGTCAAAGTAATCGCTGCACTACCTCCATTTGCGAGAAACAGCGACGTTTATTCGCGTTTATCTGTACCAGTGAGTACGTTTCGTGCGTGATTTGTGCGTAAGAAATGCGGGGCCCGTTTATATCTGCTTGACATTGTGCGCGTGACCTTCCGATTCGTTGCTATCGTATTCATTCATTCGCCATTGCGGCAAAGCTGTGACTGTGTTTTAGATACTGTCAGTATCTAAAAACGTTGACCAAGCCACAATATCTCTGTCGACACCCACCGCAGCATCTGCATGGTGCTGCACTGCTAATCTGGAAGACAAGGGCCTGATCCCCTGTCAATGTGGCCTCATTTAAATTGGGGCAAAATGCAACTATATACTTGAATTTATGTAAGCGTAAAAAACACCTGATGGCCAAAAATAACTTGGAGAGCTCCACGACAGTGTGACTCATAATTTGGCCCCTAAGACTCTAGAGTTTGTGAAGAGCCAGGTGGGACATTGAAAGTGCCACGGCCGCTGGATGAAAGAGCACTCTTTCATGCTTGTTCATGCTTTTGTAAATATGAAATCAGAACTCTTGCATAGCTTAACGAAATATTCGTGGTGCAACTAAGAACAAGGAAGAAAAAATTGTCTGCGTATGTGTATGCTTTGCTGCGAATGTCATCGAAAGAGGAAAGTATTCTGTCGGCCTTCTTTTATGCATAGCATCGTATTTTCAGATCAGTCTAAAAAACACTAGATTCCTTATAATTACGTATTTATGTTTTTACCTAGTAAACAAACAAACCACTTAATACTTACGTATTGATGCTGCGCCTCAGATATGCGTAACATTGGATTTTTGATCGACAATGTTGACAAGTATGAACGCAGTCACCAGTTCAGGATGGCTGGGTGTCCAGAAAGTGCTCAAACTTGGGCCGGGTGGCTAAATCATGTGACAGACAGACAGACAGACAGACAGACAGACAGGCAGACAGACAGACAGACAGACAGACAGACAGACAGACAGACAGACAGACAGACAGACAGACAGACAGACAGACAGACAGACAGACAGACAGACAGACAGACAGACCAAAGTTTCTGCATTCAAGTATCCCAAGAAAGACTACGTACGTCTTTAAAACGAGAGAAGATGAGAAAAGGCGCCAGCATATAATTCGTGTTTCTGTTGTTTATACTAATGATATTTTCCCAGAGGGCTCTCAAGCGAGCATGTTACATAAGGATGGGTGGTGAGGCAACACAAGAAAAAATCATGGCATATCCACGACGCCAATGATGATGAGTGGGCGAAGTATAGTGGGATCGTTCGGTGTCCGTAAGTCACCTGTCGTCGACCCCTCACGCATGTAAATGAGTTCCAAACGGCGTACAGTTAGGCACAATGCTTTATTGGTCATAACGAGTATGTTGTGTTGAGTTGTAAATTTGGTTTTGCCGTCATCATTACTGATTCATTATTACGGGACGGGAATGAATGACGAAGGTATATCACTGGGGCGAACAGGATAATCATGATGTGTGTGTCATATAAGAACATGACTATATACCACGCTCATCATGCACTCACGGCCGTTTCGCTGGTTTCACATATACCAAATTGGGTATTACGTGACGTGAACAGACGACGAAAATAAATTACACGTTGAAACATGATGATAATGATATGCGTGTCACGTAAAAGACGACTACATGCTACGGTCACAGCGCGCTCGCGGCCGTTTCGCTAGTTTCAAATACACCATATTTAGCATTACGTGACGTGAATGGACGACGAGCATAATCGCCCGGCGCAAACCTGATAATCATGACATGGAATGATGTACGGCATAATTTACGTCCACCTTGTAACGTTGGGTTGATTTTAATGTGACAATTCAACCTTTCTCATTCGTGGTTTACATATCATCGATTCCCACTGTACGTGGGATCTACCTATATTTTTTGTATCGCAAATATTGAATGGTGCATTTCTTTAATGGCTTTGCTACATTCTTGACTTAGGTATGCGGGCGCATATCAATCTTATGCTTTTTTTATTTTGTCTCGCTATCATTCCGTATGGTTTGTGTCATACAAGGGAGAGATGGAGGAAGGAAGGGAGAAAGAGAGGGAGGTTAGCCAGTTCTAAGACCGGCTGTCTACCCTGTGCTGGGGAAGGGGGTGCGTGAAATAAAAGATGGCAGAAAAGAGACCCCAAAGAAAAACAAAGGCAGAAGGACAACAGTACTATCAACGATGCTGCTTACAGTTTGTGTGTCATACAAGAATTCTATACTTTTTTATGTGCTGAATGAAAATCACTTTTTTATGTGCTCAATAAAAGAGCTTTCGGATGAAAGTTAAGAACGCCTCCTCTCCATCTACCTGGAAAAGGAACCTTCTCTACAGCGCGTGTGGAACCTCGCGGCGTACACCATAGCCGGATTGCTAGGGCAGTCCAACACAAATTACCGAAGTGTTGTTCGGTTACCACGAGAACTGAATTGCTATATTTTCTTGAACTCTATTTATGCCCTCTGTAGAACGGTGAAAATCCGGAATTAGAACCTGAATAAAGAAACCGAGTACACTAAAAACTCCTTGATTCGACCCTTGTTAGTGCGGAGAATAGGATGATTCAAAAGTGTTCTTCAGTCCCAACCAGTATATACGTTTGTTAATGTAACAAAGATCTCGTTAATTCGGTCATAACGGGCCACAATCTCGTTAATTCGTATGGGGCGCACCGAGCACAAAGCTCAGCTAACGCGTGACGCAAAAGATCGACAGTGACGCTCTCGGACAACCGATATACGAGCCAGCACAGCGCGCACCGCCAACGTCATCATTGCGACCCGAGTGAATCACCGGAAAGACATAACTACTTTAGTCAGAACGCTTCATGCCAATTAGCGGTTACCAGCGCTTGAGAAGCCTCAGTCTCCGTCGCTGGATTTCATGCCGACCGCTTGTGTCCCCGTGATCTCCGACGACAGCGCAGCTCTGGCCGACTGGGCTCTCCCTATACGCCATCTCCTGACGCCGACAAGAGCTCTCGCCGAGTGGTGCCCTGTCCTCAGACTCTTGCGACCGTGTACATCTTTCCTATCTACTCCTTACTTGCGTCGCTCGCTGTCCCTCTGCCTCGCTCTCTCCTTCCTCTCTCTATATACCTTTTAACCCCCTCATTCCTCGTGAGCGACTGTTGAGGTGTCGCACCCTGATGCAGACAGTTACGGGGGCTCACTTTTCTCTTCTTTTCTTTGTAAGAACCACATAAGAAGAAGAAGAAGCCTCGGGTGAGAACTCCGAAGGGTTCGTCCCGCCTTCCCGACATACAGGCGCCGTCGAAGACGTTGATCTTCACCGGCCAATTTCACGGGGCAAGAGGAGGGCCGCCAACACAAAGCCGACGGAAGCGAAGGAGGTTTCACCCGCACCATTCCCACGGTAGCCTTCGTGTGACCGGCTTCTACTTCTGCTTCTTCTTATTTTACCTCTCTTTGCTTTCCAACTTTCTAGTCACCTTTAATAAACCAGTCTTGAAACGGTCACCATCGAGTCGAGTCGCTCCCTTTAAAGGCTGCCGCGCGCGTGGCCCAGCCGCCCTGCTATAGTTACAACGCAGCGAAGAATTTGCTTTCCAATTAAGAGGAAGCCGACGAAGATTGGAGCACATCTATAGCCTATTCGCAGTAATTATTTGATAATGCGTAGTCGCCATCCACAACTAACCGCGTTGTTGCCGACCAAGACTCCCACGGCTGTGGCAAATTTATTTCATTTACGGCGAAACAAAGTTTCGTTAAGTGCGCGCGGTGGTGGCGGTGGTAACAATTAGAGAAAACGCAGAGCACGTTGCGAGCTAATTAATACGGCGATATTGCGCCGTGGTCGCACTGTGGAAGAAGTCCCAGGATGACGCAAATTGCGGCTTTTAAGCTGCTCTTATGGAAACTAAGTACAGTATTTACGTATTATTCAAGAAAATCATACTGTATTCACGCAATAGACATTTGTTAGGGCTCTTGCGAACTCAGTTATTACGGATATTTTTTTTTCGGACCCGTGAATTCCGAATCAACGAGCTTTTACTTAGCATTGTTTTAGTCATGTGTTCTGATTGCAGCGCCGAATATTGTTAACCCATCGATTAAAGGGAAAACATACCATCGTATAGCTTAAAATTTAACAATATCACAAAAGTGTCATCATGATAACTAGACGTCTCTTTATATCTGCATTGTTCAAGGATGA